AGTGATAAGCTAAAGCTGGTAGTTTCAACAATTTTTAACTCTGATTTAGTCATTGAGACACTAAATGGTTTGGATTCTAATTACAATCTCGTGGTTATCAGACTTTATGATAAGATTAACATAAGTTGAGTTGAATTACAAACCTAATTGTTAACGAAGTCGATTAGATCAACTCAATAGTTTTTGCAGCTTTAATCTTAATGCCTCTACAAAATTTGCTTCCAATAATGTGTCTGGAGGCAACAGGTTTGGATCCCAAAGTGACTGGAGAGGTTCTAATTTTAGAAACATGAGAGGTGGTAGAGGAAGAGGTGAGATGTCTAAACCAATATGCAAGGTATGCAAAAGGATTAATCACATTGTTATACAATGTTATTACTGATTTGATAAGTCTTATACAGGGAAAAACTTCCTCTGTTGACCGTGAAGAACAAGGAACGCACGGTGTATTCGTGGCTTCACCCTAACAAGGCCAAGATCATGAATGATATTTTGATAGTGGAGCCAAAAACCATGTGACTCACCAAAGTCACAAAATTCAGGAACTTGGTAAAAATAATGGTAATAATTCTTTACTTATTGGTAATGGTGAAGGACGAAAAGTAATGACCTCAGGATCAACAAAATTGAATAATCTTCATTTGCATGATACTTTTTATGTTCTAGAAATTACCAAAAATTTGTCGAGTGTCTCAAAATTAACAGCTGACAATAATATTCTTGTTGAGTTTGATATAAATTGTTGTTTTATTAAAGACAAACTGACAAAAAAAGCTCTTCTAAAAGGGGAACTTAAAAATGATTTGTATCAACTATGTGACAATAAAAACTCTTATGTTTACATGTATCTTAAAGAAAATTGACATAGGAAACTTGGACATCCCAACAATAAAGTTCTAAAAAAGGTTTTGAAGGAATGCAATGTGAAAACATGATCTAGTGACTCGTTCACATTTTGTGAAGCTTGTCAATTTCAAAAATTGTATATGTTATCTTTCAAAGGCTCTTCCTCACATCCTAGTGAAATTTTAAATTTAATCCATACTGATTTTTGGGGTCCTACTCCAATTCTGTCTCCATTTGAGTTCAAATATTATGTTCATTTTATTGATGATTTTTGTAGATTCACATGATATTTTCTCTTAAAGCAAAAATAAAATCATAACCCAGTTAGCACAAGCCAAAATGCCCCTACATTACTGGTGGGAAACCTTCTCAACTTTTGTTTACAAGAAAGAACCTGACTATGGAAACTTAAAACCTTTTGATTGTGTCTGTTATCCTTGTCTCAAACAATACAATCAAAATAAGCTCCAAATTCAAACAACTAGATATGTGTTTTTTGGTTATAATAATTTACACAAAGGATACAAATGCATTAACTCTTATAGGAGAATTTTCATCTCAAAACATGTGATTTTCAATGAGAAGCACTTCTCTTTTCATGAAGATTTCATTGACACAATAAATTCTTTAAAAGAATTAACTATATCAATTTTACTTCCTAATTACTCGGTAAGTACCATTATCAATAATACTCTTAAACTTGGCATCAATGCTATAAGTTATCAGGAAGAAATCACAGGTGATACCAACATTGGTACAAATGAAGAAGATCTTGGTCAATCTTGACAAAGATTTGTGAAAATGACAAAGAACCAGGAAATGTTAAGGAAGCCCTAATCAAGCTATAATGAAATAGTGGAATGTAACTAAGGCAAACTAAGTGCATAAAAGATATTCTGGAGAAGTTCAACATGAAAACAATTTTAGCCTGTCTAATACCAATGGAGGCTGGTAGACAATTCACTACAAAAGGAAAACTAATGACCAATGTTACTTTGTACAAACAAGGTGCATTGCTTATTTGTTCAACAAAAGGCTAGACATTGCCTTTGCTATCAACAAACTTAGTTAATACATGAGCACACTTATCATGGATCACATACAAGGAATAAAAAGAATTATAATATATCTTTAAGACACAATGAACTCATGTCTGCACATAAAACCCTTAATGTTGTGTTCGCTTAAAGGAGTTTACTGTTTATGATGATTTGTGCGGATGGATTAGCGAGATTATGTGTGTTCATTTCCAAGTATTTGCAAAGAGATTGAGGTGATGATTTGAAAGTTGACTCCTTAATTCCATCTTCGCTGATAACAGATATTTGAGGGTATTTGCTCTCAATTATCCATTTTTCCCTTGTATAATAATAATAATAATAATAATAATAATAATAATAATAATAAATAATAATAATAATAATAAATAAATAATAATAATATAATTTTTGTCATGTTAAAATTTATTTATTTTTTCTCTTTTTATAATAATTTTTGCAATTATATATAATATTAACAATTACAATTTTATATTACTTTTACTACTAAGGGTATTTTGGTAATTTTCAATTTCTATCAATTAAAAAAAAATTATTTGTCACATTAATCAAATCCCTCACTAATTTTCACAAACTTTACTTCCAAATCCACTCTCATTTACCTCCAAATCTACTCAAAATAAACAACAAAAAATTTACCCTCAAATTCATCTACTCACTCTCCCCCAAATCCTCTCCCCAAAGTGAACACAACCTAAATGATCTTAACATAATGAGATATTCTAATGCAGATTGGGCAACTAGTACTGATGACAAAAATTCAATGGCAGGTATTTCTTAGAGAAACTCTTGTTTCCTAATCTTCAAGAAAATAAAAGGTAGTGTCACGATCAAACACAAAATTAGAATACAAAGCCCTGACTAACCTTGCAACTGGAGTAACTTGAATTAGATATTTGCTGACAGAGCTAAAACTACCAACGCTTAGAAAACCAATTTTGTAGTGTGATAACCTAAGTGCCAAGTCAATTGCTTCTAATCCGGTCATGCACGCACGGTTTAAATACATTGAGATAGATGTGCACTACATAAGTGATCAAGTCCTACAAAATGAAGTAACTTGTGACCTATGTTCCTACTTTTGATCAAATTGTAGACTATTTGGCTAAATTTGTCACTCATACAATATTTAACTTATTAAAAGACAAACTTGGTATGACCATGTCACCACCAGTTTGAGAGGGAGTTTAAACAAAATCAAAATTTTTGTTCAATATCCTATCATTTATGACTCTTGATTTTTTAATTATTTATAATATCATTTTTTATTTATTGAGTAATATTATTGTAATTATATCAACAACCGTTTATGATAATATTTATTTTTATTAACACAATTATAGACTACTATTTATTATACATTATTTTTTTTTACTTATTTTTTGTAGATTACTTTTGTATTTAAACACGTAAATAAGACAATTCAATACCTTTTTTATCTATTAATAACTAATAATTCGGTATTTTTTTTAAAAATTAATCACTATAAGTATAAGTCATCAAAATGTTTTGACCTGTTCATGTTAATATATAGTAAAATTATTTCATTGTACACATACTGATAAATATTTAATATAATTTCCTACCATGTACTCATTTAAAAATGATTTGTTTATTTAATAATCATAAAAAGTAAATTAAAGATAGGGTTAAATATGTTTTTAGTCCCTAAACTATTGGCCGTTTCTGGTTTTCGTCCCTCTTTCAAAGTAAGGTACGATTTGGTCCTCAATCTTTAAAAAACGTTCGTTTTAGTCAAAAAAACGAACGTTTTGAGGACTAAAACGATGACTAAAAACAAAATTTTAAGGACTAAAACGAACGTTTTTCTAAAGAATGAGGACCAAATCGTACCTTACTTTGAAAGAGGGACGAAAACCAGAAACGGCCAATAGTTTAGGGACTAAAAACATATTTAACCCTTAAAGATATTTGGTGGTCAATAAATCAAATAGATTGAAAATTATGATATAAACTAAGATAAAATATACTAATTATTATTTTAATAAATTTTGTGTACAAAATTATGTTTTATATTTAATCTTCTTTTCACGATAATATTTCTCTTTCTCAAATTTCTTCTAAACGAAAACATTGGTTATATACATATTCTTTTCGTCATGTGAATGTGAGTAAGTAAAATATGTACAATTTTAGATTTAAATGACAAAGACAAGCAAAGTTTAAAGCTTTTTAAATTTACAAAATTGAAAGTGATAAAATTAATAAATTATTAAAATTAAGTGATAAAATAAAATATATATTTTTGAGGTATAACATTGTATGGTATGATTGTCTTCTAAGTTATACAACGTTCGATCAATTATAATTCGAACGGTTACCTATGGTTTGATTGGTTAACCAACAAACTCAAGTGCCACTAAACAAGTCGTTTTGCCATGAACCAATTGAGATGGTCAATCCATTGTTCGGAGTACAAGTCATTAAGCCCGTTCGACCAACAAACAAGTAGATTGGACACATACCAGTAAGGATAGTCAAACATCATATCGGTGAGCACGACACTAAGTCTAGCTTACCACCAAACAAGGCGACCAACCATGTGCAAGCTCAGATAAGTTAAACATTGATTCGAATAGCAGATCACCGAGCCTGGATGATTACTAAGCAAACATGCGGTCTTGAATTGGACTGATAAATATGAATAATATCTGAATAAATTAATCTCAAAACTGATCAACCTAATATAACTCAAAACTCAAATAAATATTTGATGTAAGAAGGTATATTATGTGCATTAATTATTTAATTAATTACAATATAGTATCTTTTACATGTATCATTTTAAACACACTAAAACCCCTTGTTGGACAACAATTCAATACTACATAAAAAAGTTCACACACCGTAAACATCACAAGTTGAAACAAATACATAATTAATTTAAAACTAGAAGTGATTTCACATTAGCCTAAGTGAATTAACAAACCCAATGTACAATTTTAAGATTAAAATAATAAAATATGTAAAAATAAAAATTCAGTCAAATATAAAATCTGATGACATTAAACTTAAGTTAAAAGAAACAATTTTCCAAGGGTAAAATTGTAATTGACATTTTTATAAAACGAAAGCTCTACCCGGTCGAGCGAGTGCAATTCTCGGTGGTGGCAAGTCGAGTCCCGTAGAAGGACGAGAACGCGACACTCGAAGGAGGAGGAGGGAACGTACTGTCACTCAATGCTGCTTCTAAAGACCTAGCAAATTCTACACTCTAATTCATAGTTGCTGCAAATTCTTCTTTCTTTAACCCTCCAATTCCTCTCAGTTCTGTTTAAATCACTCCCTCTCAATTGCAAGAGTGAGAGGTCTGCTCTAGGTTGCTCGCAGAACCTTTGGGTTAGCGTTACTTCATTGAACCCTAGAGTTAGAATCATAGTATAAGCGTTTTAGACTCGGAATCGTTCCTCTCTCATAAAATTGAACTAGGGTTCGAGTCTTTTTTGATTTCCCTCTCACTTATACAGTACCAAAATGAGTCCTGTTCAGAATTTCGAACAACATTCTCGTCATCTCGTGGAGCCCGACATCCGTATGTTCTCACTCTTCCTGCAACAATCATTATTTATCATTTTGTGTGCTATATTTACTGTTTGATAGAGGATTGAAATGAAAAAAGGTTGCGTTATGGCGGAAACTTAGACACTGGATGCTTTCACTCTCTTCTTCTTGTTTTGATGTTCTCTTGCAGTAAGGAATTGTATTCGAGTATGCATGTGTTGTATTGGAATTTAAGTGCTTTCAATTTTCGCTCTTTTGACATTTGGCGCTTATTTTCGTGTTCTCTTGCCACAGGAAAATGGATTGAACTGTGCCGGTTTTTTATTGGCATTTAAATGCCTTTATTTTCTTTGTTTTATCATTTGGTGCTTATTTTCATGTTCTCTTGCCGTAGAAAAAGATTTGACTATGCCCGTGCCATACTTTGGTATTTAAGTACTTTCAGTTTTCGTCGTTTTGGCATTTGGTGCTTATGATGTTCTCTTGCAGTAGGAAGGGATTCAACCACGTCTCTGTTGTATTGGCATTTAATTACTTTCGGTTTTCATCGTTTTGATATTTTACACTTCTTTTCGTGTTTTCTTGCAGTAGGAAAATGGATTCAATTCAACTATGCCTGTGTTGTACTGGCATTTAAATGCATCCTTTTTTTCTTGTTTTGACATGTGCACTTATTTTCATTTTCTTTTGCAATAGGAGAATGGATTCCAATATGCCTGTTGTATTGGCAATTAAGCGCTCACTGTTTTTGTTGTTGACATTTGGTGCTTACTTTCACGTTCTTTTGCAGTAGGAAAATGGATTCAACTATACCTGTGTTGTATTGGCATTTAACTGCTTCCAGATTTATATAGTTTTGACATTTAGCCCTTTCTTTTTCTTAAAAAATGTTTTTCCCTGGTTGAAAACAGCTATTCCAGGGAGGCTGCAGATGGTGATGGAGGTTAGGGACAGTCTAGAGATTGCACACACGGCTGAGTATTTGAATTTTCTAAAGTGCTACTTCAGGGCATTCTCGGCGATACTGCTACAAATTACGAAGCCACAGTTTGTGGACAATCCAGAGCACAAACTTCGGAATATTGTAGTTGAGATATTGAATAGACTTCCACACAGTGAAGTTCTCCGCCCCTTTGTTCAGGACCTCTTGAAGGTTGCCATGCAAGTGCTTACCACTGATAATGAAGAGAATGGCCTAATTTGTATTCGTATAATATTTGACCTTTTGAGGAACTTTAGGCCAACTCTAGAGAATGAGGTCCAGCCATTTCTGGATTTTGTCTGCAAGATTTACCAAAATTTTAAACTGACTGTTAGCCATTTCTTTGACAACATGGCAATGATTGGGGAAGATGTCAAGCCCATGGAGACTTCACTTTCTGATCAAGGTATAAACACCACCACTGCAACTGGTTCACAGCTTAATCCAAGTACGCGCTCATTCAAGATAGTTACAGAGAGTCCACTGGTGGTGATGTTTCTGTTTCAATTATACAGTCGTCTTGTGCAAGCCAATATTCCTCAATTATTGCCATTGATGGTTGCTGCTATATCAGTTCCTGGCCCAGAAAGGGTTCCTCCTCATTTGAAAACTCATTTCATTGAGCTCAAGGGTGCGCAGGTTAAGGTAGGTGTTTATGGTAATAATGAAGGCTGGGTAAATTTTTTCCCCTAGATTTTATTAATAATTATATTAGTAAGTTGAAATTTTAGTATTTTTAGTACTTAGAAGAATAGCACAACATATTTCAGTATGGCTTATGAGATATGTGATGACATCAAAATCCTCTGGATCTCCATGACCGTCATGAGCACCAACTACTTGGATTTTGAATTTTCAACACCTATCACATAACATGGCATAAATTGGCTACCAGTCACTAGGGAAATAAAGCTGGTGTTTTATTTGCTGTCTGCTTTAATTTTCTGTTATTTTTTTTTCACTAATAATAAAAAAAGTGCCACATTATTTTCACTGTGTTCCCTATTTACAAACTCCTGGGAAAGAAATGGTGAAGACAACCTTTTTTTGTTGTTATTTCCTTCTAAACTAAAACAAGGTGTCATTTTTGTAGTTATCAGTGAAAACATATTAGTTGCATCAGAAAACAATGACCTCAAATATTTCCATTTGTTGAGGGCATTTTAGAACATATATGACAAATTGTAAAGACCACATTTTCAAATGAAATAACCACAGTTGTTTCCTTAAATATCTAGCTGTTGTGTCATCCTTTTTATGGTACCCTCAATTTTCATCTGCAGAATAGTTAAATTTTATTAGCTTACAAGTTAGTCAACTGAAGTTATTGAAGACGATTCTTTTACTCATAATTTTTCTGCTAACCTTTTGCATCTCTTTGGTCGTTTGTTAATTTTGGAATTCCTTTAAGATTTTCAACGATAGTGATTATGAGAAAAAGTGAGGTGGAAGAGACACCTTGAGGATGGTCAATTTTGGCATTTGGTTCACCTGTGGGTATATTATGTATATATATATATATGTGTGTGTGTGTGTGTGTGTGTGTGTGTGTGTGTGTGTGTGTGTGTGTATTTATATATATATTCTATTATATCATAGTTATTTTGGGGTGTACAATTGAGAATATGAAAAGCCCCATTCATTAACTAATTCTTCTTCTGATGTAATATAATTATACACTCACTAGTTTATTTATTTTTATTGCAGACGGTTTCCTTTTTAACTTATTTATTGAAGAGCTATGCTGATTATATAAGGCCGCATGAAGAAAGTATATGTAAAAGCATTGTGAATTTGCTTGTTACATGCTCTGATTCTGTATCCATTAGAAAGGTGATACTGATGTTACTCTTGTTTTTTTTTTCCTGTTTTGATTTCTCTTTCATTGATTTAAAGACAAAGATGTTGGATGCAGGAGCTATTGATATCTCTGAAACATGTCCTTGGAACAGATTTCAGGAGAGGTTTATTTCCTCTTATAGATACTCTACTGGAAGAAAGGTAACATGATGACCTATTCTGAGATCTTGATGCAGATACACTTTAGATGGAGTCCAATTAAGGGACTCCTGTCAGTACTATTTTACATGAAATATGAATAACTTTTAAGTGTCGAGTGGCTGTTAAGTTATGTCTACTATATTAGCTTAAATGTGACTTTAAAACCAATGTCATTATTATTCTGTCAAATTACATATTTGTCCAGAGAACCATTTGATGATTCTGTTTTCCTTTTTGACAAAGTCAAAGTACAAACTAGATGGTTTTAAATTTTTCTGAAAGTACACTTGTGTATTTGTTGAGTAAAGAAGGATTAAACTGTATGAACTGTACTTGCATCTGATAGTTATCTGTCAATTGTATTGAGAGTCATAATTTGGGTCGTTTATTATCCATGTTCCTGTAGCCTCTCAGATAATAGTTCTTAATTTGTGTTTCCAATATTAGATGTTTGAGATCCTAGATCAAAGTATAACTTTTGAGTTATGCGTAGAGGATCTAAATGGATAAATCCATGTTTGTCATGAAGTAGAATATTTTAAAAAGGGAACTAAGAATTTAGAGTAGTCAGAGTAAATAAATCTGAACATTTATACAACTCTGTTGAATGTTCTCTAATGTTGTATATAATTCAAACTTTAGGGTTCTAGTTGGGACTGGAAGGGCATGCTTTGAGACATTGAGACCCTTGGCTTATAGTCTTTTGGCAGAGATTGTACATCATGTTCGGCAAGATCTTTCCTTATCACAGGTATGGTATTTTCTTCCACGTTGTTTAAGACAGGAGATGTCTGTTATTCAAGCAATTTCATGCAGAATAGTAATTGGATTCTTTCAAATGTCATGCCATCTTAAACAGTTATTTAATGATTAATACTATTGTATAACATAGAACTATATATTATTTGTGGAATCTTTTTTTAAATATCAATTTGGTCATTGGAAGATTGGGACATCAACTTAGTCATCTAATTATGGCTTTTTGACATTGACTATAATTTGGTCCCAGTAAACAGTAACTTTGGACTCTTGATGTCAAAAAGTTTCATTTGGGGACCAAATTATTCTTTCAAGGACTACAAGGAGGGTTTTTCTTAAACAAATTATATCCTTTTTTTAAAGAAATAAAAATAACTTTTGGAACCATATAGTAATTCAACCAAACATACGTTGGAAACTAAAAATTAAAGTTGACCAGCAGTAAAGAAGGGAGGAGTAATTCAGCAAGCCATATAATGTGGAGAATTTGGAACAATTATGTGTTTTGTGTAGAATAAAATAGAGAAGGTTTTTTGCTTCTGTGTAGCAAATGTGAATTTGATGCGTTTAATTGGACAGGATGAATGTTTTCATGGATAATGTTTTATTGTTTTAAATGGAATAAAGTAGTGTTATGAGTGTTTTAGTGATGGTTAGCTAATGGCCAGTCCAATGGGGTTCTCTGTTGGATATTGAGAAAGATTCAAAGCCTGGCCTAGTTGGATTGTTTTTTCTTTTTAGGGTTTAGGATATGAGTTTGAGTTTCATTTTGGATTATAAGATCTGTTAGTCCAATTTTCCTTTATTCTACTGTTTAATTAAATTTCTCCTCATATATAGCTAATGTTTCACCAAGAAAGGGATGTACACTCCAATAGTGGGAATAAATTAACAATTAATTTAGGGAAAACAAGAAAGGAATATTAATTAGTTTACGAATACAAAGATGGTTTCTACATTTAATTTAAACAGAAGAAAACTAGCAGGTGGATTTCTAGGGTTCTAAAATGAAAAGCAGTGTCTCCTTGGAGTTCAATACATAGTTATTTTTTATACATTTGTTCCCTAATTTACGCCAAATACTTCTGAACTACATATAAATCATTGTTCTATTATTTTTATAGTCGATAGAATTTGTGAGAAATTGTTTCTGCAAATATTTTTAATTGACAAGGTTTCTGCTAGACGTGATCATGCTAATTTGAACTCTCTATGGTTGCAGCTGTCGCGAATTATTTACTTATTCTCAAGTAATATGCATGATGCTTCTTTATCACTGAGCATCCACACCACTTGTGCTCGCTTGATGTTGAATCTGGTGCTTATCCTTTCTCTTAATAATATAGTTAATTTTATTCTCTGGTTTAATTTTCCAATTTCTGTCTTGATCTACTATTAGCTCCAAGGGTTTTTGTAGAAGTACTACTATTAGTTGTGATGTTCATATTGAATTATTTAAAACATAGGGTGCTGCCTTCTTTAGCTTAGGAGTTCAGGGCCTGACTAACTGTTTCTCATGTAGTCGGGGTGTTTGTTTGTATTATCATTTTTATTTTTCGCTATGTTTTTTTTATTCTTCTCTCTCTTTGGACTATTTATTGTTTTCTATATCTTTTAATTTCTTCTTAAATAATACCTTATTTTGCTTGCTTCCAGAGTGTTTTTCTTTTAAAGTTATTATTTGTCCATCATTACTTCTAACATGACATGCAAAATTTAACCTCTATTTCTGTCTTCTCCTTTGCTCAAAATTAGGATTTGTTATCTGATTAAATTCTTGAAATCTTGTTTTCTTTCTATTTTATATAGGTGGAACCGATTTTTGAGAAAGGGGTTGATCAGCAATCTACAGATGAAGCAAGGATTCTATTGGTCTGCTGCTTGATATATGCTAGATTTTTGCAATTTTGTATTCTACTTCATTCACTTATCGCATTGATGATAATTATGTTGTTTTATAGGGCCGCATTCTGGATGCTTTTGTTGGGAAATTCAGTACTTTCAAACGGACAATTCCCCAGGTTACTTGAGTCAATTTATAATTCCATGTCGTGTTTAACTTATTAGAAAGTGGACTTTAAGCCTAACTCAACCCCACAAAAACAGCTTGTAGGGTGAGGTTTGCACCTCACTTATATATTATAATTTGGCCTTATCTCTAGTCGATGTGGGACTTCCAGCACACCCCCTTCACGCCGAGGTATAGACATCTCGTGCGTGATAGTAGAAATTGGGTGGTCCGATAACGGCCCGATAGCGGGTGGAATAGAAGAATAGAATGCCCACTTAGAAGTCGCTAGGATAGGCTCTAACCATGGCTCTGATACCATATTAGAAAGTGGACTTTAAGCCTAACTCAACCCCACAAAATCGGCTTGTAGGGTGAGGTTTGCACCTCACTTATATATTATAATTTGGCCTTATCTCTAGTCGATGTGGGATTTCCAACATAACTATTGCCTCATTATAATTGTGCATAATTATAATGAGTTGGTTTACCACCTGAGCCCTTTTTTCTCCGGTGGTTGATCAGTAATCTCTAATTTGTCTCACAATGTTTACAGTTCATTGCATTTTACTTTTATTAATTTGAATCTGTGGGTAATTGTTACTGCATATCTTCATAATCTTTTAGTAATATGATTTACTGCTATTTTTTTATAGCTTTTGGAGGAAGGTGAGGAAGGAAAGGATCGTGCTACCTTGAGATCAAAGCTTGAACTCCATGTGCAGGTTATTATAAAAGTTCTGTTTGTGATTTTGTTTCAGGCTATATAATGGCACTTAGATATTTATATCTTCACATTTGGCATGGCGTCAGATTGTCATGATTTGCATTGTTTTGAGCTATTTTTGCATTTTTTTGGAAATAAACAATGAAATATTACTCACTTGTAGAGAAAGGAAATAAATTTTGATGGTTAACAGTTATCCGTCTTGAATTACTTTTGAAATAAAGGAGAGACTACTTATTCTTTTTTAGCAATTTTAAGTGAATATTGGGGGATTTAAATGAACTGCTCATTCTTGTTTATAAGAGATGAGGATATGATGCTTAAAATATATCCTCAAACAGACTTTTGTGGAGCATATACAGACTCAAGAAGAAAGCCATTTATTTTGTGGACATTGGATCCAATTAAAATGCGGTCTTTGCAGATATGCCTTAAACAGGCCAGATCGGTTTGTTTTCCTGCCTCTAGTACAAATTGATGTGATCATGTCTGCAACTTCTATTAACTCACCTTTTGTTGGGCAACAGACTGAACTACCCAAACAAACTTATCAAGTGTATTTTAAAAGAAATAATAAAGGGAGATTAGTGGGTGTTGGGATTTGTGGGTTTTAAATAAAAATTTTGGCCAAGTGAGGAGGGGTTGTCCTTTATTTTTTGTGTAATTGACTGGAAATTCTAGTGTGAAAAAAGAGTGCTGCTTTGTGTTGGAGATCCCATGTCAACTAGATATATGCCAAACTTTAGTATACAAGCAGGTGAAGGCCTCACTTTGTAACTTGGTTTTGTGTAATAGTGTTAGGAACCAAGAATTGAAACGAGAAAGAAAAGAAAGGATTTTTATTTAATAGAATGAAAAGAACAAAAAATAGGAGAGCTCTCTCCTTCAAGGGCATCTCCTCACAAATATCTAGTCCCATGCTTTAGATTTCCATTCACTGGCATGAAGAGATGTTTTGGAGATCTCACATCAACTAGATATATGACTGAAGTATAGTATATAAGTGGGTATAAACCTTATTTTGCAAACTGGTTCTGAGGTTGTATTAGGCTTAAAGTCTAAGATGACACTAGAATCTATCCTAATGTGGTTTTTTAGACCTATTGTACCACTTGCTATTAGACCATTAACAAATATCTAGTCCCACGCTTGAAATGTCTGATCACTGGCATGAGAAAGTAGGTTAGAGATCTCACATCCATTAGAGATATGACTAAAATATGGTATAGTATAGTATATTATAAAAGATCAAATCCTTATTTCTATAATTATAACACTCTCTCAAGTTAGATCATATAGGTCATATATCCTTATTTCTATAACTATAACACTCTCTCTTAAGTTAGAACATATAGGTCATATAATTGATCATCTGTCCTCTTTGAGATTTGGTGAATATGTTAGCCAATTGTTCATTGGAGTTTACAAATCTAGTGTCTATAGAGTCCAGTTTTTTTCTTGTGAAATGACAATACATAATTGTTTATAGTTATGGTTTGATAATATATGTTGAGTTGAAATACTGCTACTATTGATGTTGTTTTTAATGATGGTTAGATCAACATTTGTCTTTGGCTCTGTGTGATGTTGTCCTTTCTTTTGCAGGCAGTTTTGGCTTTGCAAGTTCCTGTAGAGCATTCAAAGGAAGTAAATGATTGCAAACATTTGATAAAAACATTAGTGATGGGTAATTTGTATCCTTAAACCTTCTGTTGCACTTAAGGGTGATCATGTTTTGGGCTGAACGAGGTTTGACAAAATGAATTCCAACGTGTTTAATTGTAACTGGGATGGATTAGATCTTTGCTGTTGAATTTTTTCAACCTACCTGACCCAAATCAACTTGGTTAAATGGTTGGAATCTGATCAAGTCGTCAAATTGTTACTTTTTTATTCTATTTATTTATTATGTTCTAGTTATTAAAATGGAATATTATAGAAAATAAACAGTGATAAAATTTGGTATTATGTGCACACGTCCGTACATAGCCACACACATCTGCACACAAACACTCATATATATATATATATCTTAATTTTTATAACCATTAATAATAAATCCAAATAAAATAGAAAAAATAAAACTAAGATTGCGCCTTCATTGGATGAGATTGAATGATCTTCTACCTAATTTGGTTGTTGGTCCCGTCAAGCTCTTTTGATCCATTTTAATACGAATATTCAAATGAACCTGTGTTTCTCTAGTTTGAATTGGTTTTGGTCAGATTTACTGATTGAATTTGGTCTGTTGCAACCCTACTAGTTTCTTATCTTTAGGAGTGCCATATGTTCCATGTAATTTTATTGCTTTTGACACCTTATTTTATGTCTCATAAATGTACACATTTTTATTATATGTATACGTTTTTAATACTTTTCTTACAACTTTCAGGAATGAAGACCATAATATGGAGCATCACCCATGCGCATTCCCCTAGGCCTCAGGTAATGAAAATAATTTCTGCCTGTGGATTTTATCTTGCCACTTAACACATGTATTATTTCACAAATATGAATTTCCCTATCCATGGATCTATACAGACTCTTGTCTCACCATCTTCCAATCTATCACCACCTCAAGCCTTAAGGGGCATGAGAGAAGATGAGGTACTACGGATAGGCTTAACTTTAACATATGTGTTTTTAGGTTTAACGGCAAAGTTGACTTAAGATTCTTGTGTAGGTATGCAAAGCTTCTGGTGTTTTAAAAAGTGGTGTGCATTGTTTAGCTCTTTTCAAGGAGAAGGATGAGGAGAGGGAAATGATGCATCTCTTCTCACAAATTTTGGCCATCATGGAACCTCGAGATCTGATGGATATGTTCTCTCTGTGTATGCCTGAGCTTTTTGATTGCATGATCTCCAACAATCAACTTGTCCATATATTCTCTACCCTTCTATCAGCCCCAAAAGTGTACCGGCCATTTGCAGATGTGCTTGTTAATTTTCTTGTGAGCGGAAAACTTGATGCCTTGAAGCAACCAGATTCACCTGCTGCAAAACTGGTTTTGCATCTCTTTCGATTTATATTTGGTGCTGTTACCAAAGCACCAGCTGATTTTGAACGGATTTTGCAGCCTCATGCTCCTGTTATAATGGAATTTTGCATGAAAAATGCTACCGAAGTAGAAAAACCTCTTGGCTACATGCAGTTGCTTCGTACAATGTTCAAGGCACTTTCAGGGTGCAAATATGAACTTTTACTCCGTGACTTGGTGCCCATGTTGCAGCCCTGCCTCAATATGCTGCTTGCTATGTTGGAAGGGCCAACTGCAGAAGATATGAGAGATCTTTTATTGGAGCTCTGCTTGACCTTACCTGCACGTTTAAGCTCTCTTTTACCATACCTTTCTCGTCTTATGAAGCCTTTGGTATTATGTCTCAAGGGAAGTGATGAATTAGTGAGTCTTGGTCTAAGAACCCTTGAGTTTTGGGTTGATAGTTTAAATCCTGATTTTCTTGAACCCATTATGGCTAGTGTTATGTCTGAGGTGATTCTTGCCTTGTGGTCTCATTTAAGACCGGCTCCCTATCCTTGGGGTGCAAAAGCATTGCAGCTTCTTGGCAAGTTAGGAGGCCGAAACAGACGATTTCTCAAGGAACCTCTCGCACTTGAGTGTAAGGAGAATCCTGAGCACGGGCTTCGCCTGATTTTGACATTTGAGCCTGCAACTCCATTCTTGGTGCCACTTGATCGATGCATAAATCTTGCTGTGGAAGCTGTAATGAATAAAAATTGTGGTATGGATGCTTTCTATCGGAAGCAAGCTCTAAAATTTCTTCGGGTGTGCCTGTCATCTCAGCTCAATTTGCCTGGAAATGTTGCTGATGATGGATCTACGTCGAAGCAATTATCTGCATTGTTAGTTTCTACAGTTGATCAAACATCGCGGAGGTCTGAGTTAATGGATGTCAAGGTTAGTTTGTTATGAAGTACACTTAATATCCTGTATAAATTTGTGCTTACACTTTTGATAAATTTGTGTAGCTAAATAACTCAGTTTAATGTATTCATCAATCTCTCTTCCATGATGGTCTAATTAAATTATAAAAATTCTGCTACTGTTGATTACTGTTAGTTTCTTTTTTCTCCATCACAATATACTTATTTAAGTGTGGTTACCTTTAGGTACTATCTACTTAAATTGGTCTCTTATCCTCCCCAATATATATTGAGAGTACTTACATAAGTTAGATGGGTCTATATGTAGTATAATGTTTCTGCAATATGTAACTGGTCTTTTATCCTTTCCAATATTTTTCTGAGTACTTGTACAAGTTAGATGGGTTTATACTATTATTTTAGCAAAAATATGACACTTCATTTTCAGGCCGACTTAGGTGTAAAGACAAAGACCCAACTTATGGCTGAGAAGTCTGTTTTTAAAATTCTTTTGATGACTGTCATTGCTGCCAATGGTGAGACAGATCTCACAGATCCCACAGATGATTTTGTTGTCAATATATGTCGACATTTTGCAGTAATATTTCACATTGATTCTACATCTAGCAATGTATCAGTAGCAGCACTTGGGGGTTCATCACTCTCAAATAACGTTCATGTTGGTTCTAGGCTAAAAAGCAATGCTTGTTCAAATTTGAAGGAGCTGGACCCCCTAATATTCTTGGATGCTTTAGTTGAAGTACTAGCAGATGAAAACAGGCTTCATGCCAGAGCTGCTCTTGCGGCTTTAAATGTGTTTGCAGAAACACTTGTATTTCTTGCTCGTTCAAAGCATACTGACTTCATAATGTCCAGAGGGCCAGGTACACCTATGATTGTCTCTAGTCCATCAATGAATCCTGTATATTCTCCACCTCCTAGTGTTCGTGTACCTGTATTTGAACAACTGTTACCTCGTCTTCTGCACTGTTGCTATGGGCTTACATGGCAAGCTCAAATGGGTGGCGTCATGGGACTTGGTGCTTTGGTTGGAAAGGTCACTGTTGAGACTCTATGCCTTTTTCAAGTAAGAATTGTGCGTGGTCTAATATATGTTCTTAAAAAGCTTCCCATATATGCTAGCAAGGAGCAAGAGGAGACAAGTCAAGTGCTTACTCAAGTTCTTCGAGTGGTAAATAATGTTGATGAAGCTAACAGTGAGGCACGTAAGCAGAGCTTTCAAGGAGTTGTTGATTTTCTCGCTCAAGAATTGTTCAACCAGAATGCATCTATCACTGTGAGAAAGAATGTACAATCATGCTTGGCACTTTTAGCTAGCAGGACTGGTAGTGAGGTGTCAGAATTACTAGAGCCACTATATCAGCCTTTTCTCCAGCCTCTTATTGTGCGATCACTCAAGTTGAAGACTGTTGATCAACAGGTACATGTTCTTTTGCTGATGGTGGTTTATTTGATCTTTCTTTAGCTTTTATCTTTTTACTAGTTTATTGTATCTTGTGTAGGTTGGAACAGTTACAGCATTGAATTTCTGTCTAGCATTGAGGCCACCTCTTCTCAAGTTGACACCAGAGTTAGTTAACTTCCTGCAAGAAGCCTTGCAAATAGCAGAATCTGATGACACTGCCTGGGTTGCTAAGTTTATCAACCCTAAAGTGATGACATCATTGACTAAACTTCGTACTGCTTGCATTGAACTGCTTTGTACAACAATGGCATGGGCTGATTTTAAAACTCAAAACCACTCCGAGTTGCGTGCCAAGATTATTTCAATGTTTTTCAAGTCTTTAACCTGTCGGACTCCAGAAATTGTTGTTGTTGCAAAAGAGGGCCTGCGGCAGGTACAGTTAGTATTCATGATATATAACTTATGCTTCTTCATTTGCTTGATTGCAACACATGTACAGATTTATTCCTAGCAATATGCACACCTGTAATTTCATAGAATATTTGAACTCTTCATGCATATGATCAATTATCATTTGTGTCAATCATAGTTATCAATCCCATAGTGGAGCAGCCATACCCCAAAATGCTATAATTGTATAGTGGATCCCAGGATGGATGCTATACTGAATATTTTCAATTCAAGTTAAATAGTTTATGAAACACCGGTACACAAGCTAAAAAGTACAAATTTTATGGTGAGAATTTAAGAATTTTTGTCAATTCCCTATTTTCCTTATTCTCATGAATCTATGGGATCATAGATCATTAAGATTCACCAGAACTGTTGAAGAGATTTTCTTTTTCAAATTATAGGAATAGATAACTCACCTTTTACAAACTGACGTTTCACTTCTTTCCCTTATCCATTCATCCACATTCCTGCCTCCCTCCTCCTTGCTTTGGTTAGGGACTCAACATACGGATGCAGATTCTGTGTGAAGGTTGCAGTTTCAGACATTTTTCTGACATCAACAATTACCCTGCACTTGTTGACACATGTGAAATCCTTCTAATTAATCTGAAACTTCTAAACAACTTTGAAACTAGCCAACACTTCCATATGGATAGCAACACGTTAATATTTGAAAAAAACTTTTTTAACCTTCAGAAAAGTCAGCTTGAAATGCCATATCATTTGCAGAAAGTTGTATTACTTTTTATTCAATAATGCAAGACTACATTTTTTAAATAATTGGCATTACATAAGAATTAGGATTGCCAAGCCTAAGGTTCCATGTGACTGAGAATCATTGGAAACATCCGTGTGAATATTTGCTTTAGTTTGCATGCTAATTGGTATTAGCATAGAATCATTTTTGAACCTCATTTACATCTTTGTCACCCTGTTTACCTAGGTTATTAATCAAAGGATGCCCAAAGAACTTCTACAAAGCAGCCTTAGGCCTATATTGGTGAATTTAGCACACACAAAAAATCTTAGTATGCCTCTTCTGCTTGGTCTTGCTCGCCTGCTTGAACTGTTATCGAACTGGTTTAATGTTACTTTGGGTGGAAAACTTCTAGAGCATCTCAAGAGGTGGTTGGAGCCTGAGAAGTTGGCACAAAGTCAGAAGTCGTGGAAGGCTGGTGAAGAACCAAAAATTGCTGCAGGTTTTACATCTATGGTTTAACCTATTTAATGCAAGTGTATCTAATTCAACTTCCACAGACCATACTTGTGCTGATATGTCTTTTCTATTGTTGTAGCTATAATTGAGCTTTTTCATTTGCTTCCTCCCGCTGCCTCAAAGTTCCTGGATGAACTTGTAACCTTGACAATTGATTTGGAAGGAGCTCTACCCCCAGGACAAGTATATAGTGAAATCAATAGTCCATATCGCCTTCCACTCACAAAGTTTTTAAATAGATATGCATCCCTTGCAGTAGACTATTTTCTTGCTCGATTAAGTGAACCAAAGTATTTCAGGCGGTAAGTTTTACATTGCAGAACTTTAATTATATACCTCGTAAGATTGATTGCTTACGTTTTTTCTTTTTGTTTTTTACTGTAAATTTAGTTTCATGTATATAATTCGTTCAGAAGCTGGCCAACCATTAAGAGATGAACTTGCAAAATCACCACAAAAGATACTTGCAAGCGCATTCTCTGAATTTCTTCCCAAATCTGATGTGACAATGACTCCAGCATCCACAAGTACACATACTACTTTATTAGGTGAAGAAAGTGTTGCACCATCGACTGATGCTTCTAATCAACCTGCTCCTCCTCCCAGTACAACATCTGATGCTTACTTTCAGGGATTAGCACTTATAAAAACCCTTGTTAAATTAATCCCTGGTTGGTTACAAAGTAATCGTAGTGTGTTTGATACATTGGTACTTGTTTGGAAGTCACCTGCAAGAATATCTCGCTTGCAAAAGGAACAGGAGCTTAACCTAGTGCAAGTAAGTATAGAATGTTTTTAATGTTGTATCATCATTATTGATTGCGTATTTTTTAATGATTTCTTGTTTCTATTATTCAACGATTGCATGAACTATTTCAATTTCATGGAATGTAAAAATATTTATCAGTTTTAATTGTGTTTGTGTTCTTTGCTTCTTATCTGATCAGCTTTTGCCCTAAGTTAATTTTAATAGTGTAGAATAATGGGAAGATGGGCTCTGGATTTTCAATTAAGCATTGCAGACGCTGGTCATGTCAGTACCATTTGATTTTACAAAATAACAGCTTGGAGAAGGGAATGATTAGTCATATTTAGCCTTGAAAACTCATCCTCTTGATGCTATTTTCCGTCAATTAACTTGTCTGTTTCAGTCACCAACTTTTAAATTTGTTTTTCTTAAGCCATCTATTACCCTCGGCTTTGCCTTATGGTCTTGCACATATTGGAGAAGTTGCCACTTCATTGCAGTCTACTTCTGAATTAACTTTTGCATATTAAACGTTTTCTGCCTTGGCCATAATGTTTGTATTGATATATTGGTTTTTTTTCTAGATATCTTCACTTTGGTTTTCATGAGGAATATTTATAGATTCGTGGCATATCTTTTTGTTGCATCTCCACCCCTCTCCAATTATGTTTTAGCATCACCAATGCAATGTCATCACTTAACATTTTAGCCTTACTACTTAGTATATCGAAGCTCATTTTTCCTTGCAAACAATCTGAGGCTAAGTTACATTTATAGTTATTTTCATTTTTTATTTTGTTGTTCTACATCTACATGCCATTTGAGAATTAATGTGGATACTGTATGCGTTACTTCTTTCATCATCAAAATTAGTAATGTTGCTTTGTTTTCTGTTGTGAAATTAGTATTCATGGTATTTTAAAGTTTTTACCTTGGTCGGAGGCTGATTTTTGATTAATTTTATTTTTCTTTTCTCATGGTTTGTCTAATCTTTCATTTTATTCTTTTAGATAGTTTTTTAACTGCACATTCATTAATTTGACTTGTCTTTTAACTGGCTGGTTAACTTGTTTTCATGGTCATTATGGTATCGCAGGTTAAAGAAAGTAAATGGCTTGTCAAATGCTTTCTTAATTACTTGAGACATGACAAAAACGAAGTGAACGTTCTCTTTGATATACTTACCATATTCTTATTTCACAGTCGGATTGACTACACATTCCTGAAGGAGTTTTACATTATTGAGGTACTTGATAATCGGTTTTGAAATTTCTGTTAATATCTGAGTTCCTTCTTGTATTTTAATTTTTTTTGCTGACTTTTAGGTTGCAGAAGGTTATCCTCCAGGCATGAAAAAGGCTCTTTTACTGCATTTTCTCAGCCTTTTCCAATCAAAACAACTTGGTCACGACCATTTGGTTACTGTGATGCAAATGCTTATTCTTCCTATGCTTGCACATGCCTTTCAAAATGGTCAAAGTTGGGAAGTTGTTGATCCTGGTATTATAAAGACAATTGTTGATAAACTTCTTGATCCTCCAGAGGAGGTATGTCCTTATCATGTTTAATTTCTCATCTGGCCTTTTGTTGAAATCTTAGTGATTCTGTTTTTGACATAGACGTATGATGTCTCACAATACATAGTTTCCCTTTTCTGTAGGTTTCTGCTGAGTATGATGAGCCATTAAGAATAGAACTACTGCAGCTTGCCACCTTGCTTCTTAAATATCTTCAGAATGATCTTGTCCATCACAGGAAGGAACTGATAAAGTTTGGGTGGAATCATCTTAAGCGAGAAGACACAGCCAGCAAACAATGGGCATTTGTGAATGTTTGCCATTTCTTGGAGGCATATCAAGCCCCTGAAAAAATAATACTCCAGGTATGAAACATTGACTTCTAAATGTTCCTTACTCATATACTATCTTGTAAACGTGAGCAGGTGGGAAACTGAAAGTAAATGAGAGAAAGTGGTGAAGAGTTCAAGAGAGCGGAGGGACATATTTGAGTTTGTATTGAGAGAATTATTGATTTGAAAAATATAACTGTCTCTACATGCAGGAAAACCTATTTGTAGAGATGGTGAAAGGATTCCTGTAGCAAAGTTAGTTATAGATGTGAGGCTGTTACAATGTGATTTAAATTAACATCTCTAAGAGTCTATTACAACCAAGGTAGGCAAAATCGAGATCTTACTCACGATCATCGGAAAGGGAAGTGTGGATCCTAAATAATCGTATGACAGATTGTAAGATCCTACAAAATTTATGAAATTCATTATATCTTACTCAAAACTCTTAATTGAACATCAATTCAACACGACAAACAAAAACAATACAATAAACATATAAAAGAAGTCAATAGGTGTAAACACCCCATCCTAGTTACAAAACAGTAAACCAATAGCTCCATATTATTATTTCCAAATAGGAATTCTATCCTAGTTACAACACAAAAAATCCTTATAAAGATAATATCACAAGTTAGCATCATAATAACCTTCAATTCCATCATTTCTAGTTCCATGTCCTCCTCAACTTCGATAGGAGCTAAGTTTTCATCCAAATCCAAGTTTTCATCTTCCATGAACTACTCATCATTATACGAACTGGTTTTCTTTTCTTGTTAGCTAATCTTGAATTAGCCATCACAAGTACACCATTCATTGTGCTTTGCTTTAGCCTATTCCTTCTCTTTGTGTGAACCTAAACATACGCAATTATAAATATGGTAAACAAGTAGTAGACTAGCGATTTTATTCTAGAGATATACTTTAATTAATATTAACTTATCATCTCAGAAGAACTCCAATTATACTCACTTCTAGAGAAGCTACATGTGAATCTAAACATTAGAAACTCATGCTAAATAAATTCAATAAACAATAAAAGTTCATGCAGAATGAACTCAAGAAACAACAGGATCTCGTGCAGAATGAATTCAAGATAGCATAAATTTTTTTACAAAAATGAATACAACCAAGAACAAAAATTTATCCGGAGTAAATTACATGAATGGCAAATTTTTGGAGTTTTGAATGCTCATCGCCTGATTTGCACCAATCTGTGTATGTCTTTAAACTAATTGATCTAGTAACCTAGGGGCAACCAAAATATTTTGCTTGCTCTTCAAAATTGTCAATTTACACATCAATCAAAGTTTGCTCATCCTCATCCTTTTATGATTTTTATGGATTTGACAAGCTGGAGATAACTTCTTTGTTTTAGGAGTACTTGTAGATCTCAGGTTGAAACTAGATGCCTCTAGATTGAATTTATTACTGAGACTAGCTAAGCAGAAGTTGTTGGCTTTATCTGAAATATGAATGTGTTTTGAAAGACTCTCTTATTGTGTATCCAACTGAATCTCTCATGAAAAGGTTCAATCAAGTCTCTAAATTTAAAAAATGTGACCCTATCGTATCTTGAAACTGAAGTTGGTAGTTTTAAATTAAATCCATCAATTTTCGTTTTTTAATAACACTGCTGCTAATTGGATTGAAAGTTGTCACATTGTCGTGTTCTTAAAGATTAGGGGACATGATTGAACCTTTTATGGAAATTGAGACCAAATTGAATGAAATAAATAAATAACAAGACTAAAATGGTAATTAAAAAAAAATAACATGTATATCTATACCCTGACTCTGATTTGCAACTGCAGGTTTTTGTTGCTCTTCTCAGGACTTGCCAACCGGAAAATAAAATGTTGGTCAAGCAAGCTCTTGACATTCTAATGCCAGCACTGCCACGACGTTTGCCCCTTGGTGATTCTCGAATGCCCATATGGATAAGATACACTAAGAAAATCCTTGTAGAAGAAGGTCATTCAATTCCCAATCTTATTCACATATTCCAACTTATAGTCCGGCATTCCGATCTCTTCTATAGCTGCAGAGCACAATTTGTTCCTCAGATGGTGAATTCTCTTAGCCGGCTTGGATTGCCTTATAATACCACAGCAGAAAACAGACGACTTGCCATTGAACTTGCTGGATTAGTTGTTAACTGGGAGAGGCAAAGACAAAATGAGATGAAAGTTGTTACCGATTCTGATGCACCCAACCAAATCAATGATGTCTTTAATCCTAGCTCAGCTGATTCTAAGCGATCTGTGGATGGGTCTACATTTCCTGAAGATACAACTAAGCGAGTAAAAGCAGAACCTGGCCTGCAATCCATGTGTGTCATGTCACCTGGAGGTCCTTCATCAATAACTAACGTAGAAACCCCTGGATCTGCCACTCAACCTGATGAAGAATTTAAACCAAATGCTGCAATGGAGGAAATGATTATCAATTTTCTTATCAGAGTGAGGCTTACTTCTAGCCTGCTTTCTTACGTTTTTTATGGTGATGATGCCATTTGGCTAATTCATTGCAAGATAATTTAACATCTTGGAAACACACTTTCCAATATTTAATGTTGTGGTATTGAAATTGCAGCTGCTTTTTCTAATGATTGCCATCTTTGTGGATTAAGGGTTCAAAAGATAACTTATTAGTTTCTTAATATTACAATATTCTCTTGCCTAATCACGGACACTTCTAAGTTGTAGCTGGCTGTGTAGTGTACGGTTAGGTTCCTTTATACAAGGAACCGAACAGTAGCAAAAATACACACACTCAACAGTATAAAGGAATATGCATGTATATGTATTTCTATTTCCTCTGTACTGTGTAGAAAAAGATGAATACAGGTGTCTATCTCTTCCCCAAGGAAGCCTCCCTTCCTCCACTGGCCAAGAGGTCCAGTCTCAATTCCCAAATAATATTCGATACCCTCTCTCCTTAATCTGTTTGTTATTTATATTCCCTCTCTCTTCTAACCAACTAACCACCGTCTCCCACTACTTATTTCATCCCTTTTCTACCCCTTCTCACGTAAACCTTTAATTGCCTAACATTACCCTCCCCCTCATTATCAACCTTGTCCTCAAGGTTGAAGTTAGGAAACTGCTGTTTGATATAGTGCTCCTCCTCCCAAGTAGCACCTTCAATATCATTCTCCTGCCACTGTATGAGGACTTGGGGTATCTCCTTCCCCTGATTTTGCTGGTTCCTTCGCTGTAACACCTTCACTGGACTATATCGTGGGTTGTCATCC